ATGTGGTTTCCTAAAATACCCGCCCAAACATTCACTTTTTTTTTTTAAATTAACTATATTTTTCGCGAAAGACGTGATGATTTATGTCACTTCAATATCTCATATTATAAGTGTTAACATTTCTGTTTTCAAGAAAAGTACTTTCATCGCTAAAACAAATTGTTTTTATGTAATCTGGCTGTTGGTTAATTGATTGGATATATTTTCACAGGATTCTAGTCTTCCGTCGGGCTCATCATCTGAAACTTGGTGCGCAATTTTTAAATTGTAATACTATTTAATACTATTAATTAATATCTAAATATTATTAAGATCTGAATATAATGTATTCAATTGCATACAGTGTCAAATAATAGACAATTAATGTAATAAATTGTTGTATTTAATTGGACATAGTGTGAACGAAAAGGTGAAAAAGTCGTGGTAAGTAAAATCTATTTAATATTTTTTTTTTTCAATAGGAGTAAGTATATTTTGTATTTTAGACTATCAAACGTGATCTAACGATACCCTTCACAGCAGAAGAGCTGTTAGACAAAAATTGAGAAGGGTCTATCGGACATAGAATGTCTTAGTGATGATGAGGGTAATACTGGATGGACGTGAGTGATATTGAAGACCTTTTAAATCTAGAAAATGTCGAAGAAGGTGTCGGCGAAGAAGGGCATAAAATTGAAGAACCGGACAAGATATGTGAAAATATTGAGGAAGTTGATGCAGAGTTAGTTGTAAATATACCCCAGCCAAGTACATCAGGTGTCTATATAGAACCAGCAAAATTTCAGAAGGTAATAAAGATAAAACAAAATCACAAAAACAAAAAGCTATTTAAAAATTTATAGAAGAAAATGAACTGACACCAAAGAAAGACATTCAGTGGCGAACAGGACTGGTTTACATTACACCGACAATAAAATGGCATAAGAATACCAATTAAGATGTTGTTGAGTTAGAAAGCACATTTTATTTTTTTAGTCAATACTTTTCGAACGATATTTTTGAAGTTTTGACTGACAATACTAATTTATTTGCAGTTTGGCAGGAAGTTAGGTTTAATCCTTCAACTGTAGACGAGTTGAAAATATTTGTTGGCATCCATATGATAATGCGTAATTTACACTATCCGCGCAGAAAATGGTATGCTTGTAAATAGATTTTATAAACTAAGACAAAATATTCATATGGTATGAACAAATGGTAAAATGGTATGCTTGTAAATAGATTTATATAAACTAAGACAAAATGTTCATATGGTTAACGTCACTAAAAACCCAGAAAATAGCGATAGTATGTGGAAAGTCAGACCTTTATATACTGCTATTAGACCAAGATCCTTATCAGTTCCTTTGGAATCAGAATTATGTATTGATGAACATATGGTTCCATTCAAAGGTAGTCTTAACATAAAACAGTATATTAAAATATAAACCTACAAAAGGACAGTACAATTTTTGCTTTGTGTGGTCGCAGTGGGTTGATGTATGACTTGGTAATCTACCAAGGCTCGTTAACAAAGTTCATACAAAATCAATCTGATATTTTTGGACTTGCAGGTGCGATGGTCTCAACATTGACTGAAAGAATTACTGTAGCAAATGTTTAACTTCTTCTTCTTTGGGTGCCGTGCAATTTCCTGAAACCTTTCTCTGTCGGCTGCTGCGCGAAATAATTCTTCTACTGTGAAACCACACCATTGTCTAATATTACGCAGCCATGAAAGTTTCTTTCGACCAATCCATCTCTTTCCTTCCACTTTTCCTTGTATTATAAGGCGAAGTAAATGGTATTTGGGTCCTTTAATTATATGAAAAAAAAAATATGTTTAACTACATTTTCATAATTATTTTTCTAACTTTAATATTTTTCAATATTAACGAAATAAACACATTTATGCATGCTGTACAGCTCGCATTGATAGATTCCACAAATCATCATTTTCTAACGACCAAGGTACGAAACAGAGAGGCAGAGGAACTATTGAAGAACTGATTAGTAAAAATGGTGAAGTAATTTTAAAAAAATTGGACGATAATAAAACTGTTGTGGTGGCATCTAGTTACATAGATAAAAAGACAAGAGAAACCTGCAGACGATGGGAAAAATTAAAATACAAAAAAATATATGTTGATGTCCCTATACAAGAGGTTGTAAAGACTTATAATTCAGCTATGGGTGGTATTAATAAATTTGATTTTTTTGGTAACAATATATCGCACTTTTACACGGTCATGAAATGGACACTTCAAATATTTGCACACGGAATAGACCTTGCTAATTGTAACGCATTGCTAGATATAAAAGCAGATTTAATGACCTTTAGAGCTTACACAGCTGAAGCTCTAATAAAAGATAACAAATGCAACAATAAAAGAAGAGGGCGATCGCTATCAGAGCAAGATTCTGAAAACACGTCTTAGACACCCAATAAGGCCATATCTAAAACCAGATCAATTCCAGATGTCAGATATTGTAACACATAACTCTTGCCTTCTATTGGCGGAAATGCCTGTGCACGAAGCTGTAAAAATCCTGGTTGTAAAGAGTATTATGTGTGTTAATTATAACATTCACTTATGTCTGCAAAAAAAATAAAAATTGTTTTTTGGTATTTTATAATAAATCAATAAAAGTAAAATAATTTGTATCCAGAAATCCCTATTTTATTTTACATATAAAATTTGATTTTATATTCAATTTATGATTTGAATATTTTATTTCAATATATTCATTGAACAATTTATTTATTCAATTTTATCTGCAAGTCCCAATGTATACATTTGGATACGTAGGTACTCTGTAGCATTTGTATTTTCTTTCGTATTTATTAAAAATCACCCTGTATGTATCAAAATACCGAAGAATATTTTCAATGTATTTCTATTTCCTATCGTATATGTTAAAACGCGAAGAAGTATTCAATCCTGGCTAATTGGTCTTTACCAAAGCCATCTAAATATAAAAAAGGTATTCAATCCTTTTGTATCGCTGGAGTTGATAATAAACACATTTTAAAGTTTTTTTATATAAGACAGATGGGTACCTATTTCCTATGGTATTCCTTTGAACGACATGTCGCTTTAGGATATTTTGCTCGTCAAATAAACAGGAATAATAATATGTTAATCGTAATGTTTTTTCGTTTTTCGTCTTTTGTCATGGGAAAATGTATAGTTTGAGGTTGGTTTAAGATCTTGATGGAAAAAGAGAACGGGTGTGTAATATTCAAAAGGCCGGCAGATTTTGTTTGTGGAACAAAAAAAATGTGGCGAGTTTTTTCTGAATTATATGCGTTGTATTGTGTCCTAAATGGAAGATTTGTAAGGTGTTACAACGATATAAGGGGTTCACATATTTACGAGAAACTTTGAAAAACCAAGTTTTGAAGATTGCAGTTAATTAACCCGAAACCCGATGATCCAGCCCAACTTCAACAGAGAATCGTCTATTTGTTTGTCCTGGTCACTTGAGAACATGTTGCAGCTTGTGATGCACATTTGTGTTGTTTTGCAGTGTTTTTTAATCCAGTGCCAGAACCAAAACTTCTACAGGAAATACAATAGCCAGTGATATCAGGTACTTTGTTGTTAAAATTTTTTCGAAGTAGAAATAGACATTTTTCATTAATAATTGCTTCCATGGCAAGTTAAAAAATTGGAATAAATAAAATTATAAACTTTAGGGATTGGCTAACTGTCGTAATTATTCTTAAATATTTAATCTTCCATATGACAGTTGGCATTATTTTCTTCGGACATTTGGTACAAAGCTAACCATAAATTTTGACTATGTTTTGTTTTGTTTTTAAAAAGGTTAACCTCAGTAAGAAGCTCCATTTAAAAAGATATTTTGATTTATATTAAGTATTTAAATAGTTACAACTAGTTGGAACTGCTACAAAATGTCGCCCAAATAGTGTTCCCAACATCTAGAGTTCTTTGTAAACCGATAGAACCATTGTAAGTCGTTTTTGTATTTTGTTATTATTATTTGTATTTGTAACTGTTTATGGTGAAATAATATTAAATATATAATGTTTCTTCCTAAATCAAAAGTAGTATTATTTCCTTTAAAAAGATTCTAACTCTTTTGATATATTTTTTAAGGAAAGAAAAGCCTATCTTTCCATCCAGCAGGAAGATTCTGTAAGCGGCGTTCATTTTAAATAGCTTAGGAAACTTCTTCAGTTGTGTTGTCCAGGAAATCCATGTAAGTACCTTTTTGATTCATTTTTTGTAGGTACCACTTTCCAGTCACAATCTTTTTATTCACTTACGCCCAGCTCTCCAATCAAACCAAGAGTAGCCTTTCCCAAACGTTCCGGTTTGTTTTGCTTACCCTATCTATAGCTCAGTTATTTGTGTCCCCAATTTTTAACCCCTATAAGTGATCCCAATGTGGTAGGCAATATAACCGCTACAACTCTAACTCTAAATTTGAAAAATAGAAAATTTTGTGAAATATTTTAATAATCTTAAAAAAACAATTATTTTGTATTTTCAATTTTAGAATTTTGGCTTGTTAAACAAAAAGTCGTAAACGAAAGGGTTGAAGTTATCAGTCACAGTAGCCCTGTAAGGTTGTATATGACTATTACATAACCTGCTATAACTAGTTGAGAAGCCTATGTCCGTTTATTTCCTTCCTTTAAATTTCACTATTATAGCCATTATTATAACCACTATATATATACCATATATTATAACCACTCAAAAGATACGTGGGGGAGGGGCTTTTGGCTAACACTAAATGTAAGGTACATCTGATTTGTACAAGATATTTCAAACTAATGTATGGTAGTTACCTACTCTATTCTTAAAATATTTTTTTTCTAATAAATGTGTCACACATCCTTGAAATAATATTAATAAAACACAGTTAAGTCTTTATTTTTTATTTTTGGTAAATTTGCCGTTTTTCACACACTCTGGTTTTATTAACTACAAATCTACCTGGCTAAAATAAAATTATTGAACTAATTTTGTATGGCTCTTGAGCATTTTTTAAAACCTCGTATAATAGGCTTGTGTATTTTGAATTGGCCTAGCTCTGTAGTCTTCGATCACACTATAGTAATTTCTGAAATTATTGCTAGATTGATGTTCCCGTTGTACTTGCATTGGTTCATATCGTTGATTTACCGGTTTTGGTTTAAACGCATAATTCGTAGTTGCTGTTGCGGCAGCTTGATCAGGAACGAATCTATTACTTTTTTGATAATTGTAAGAATAATCATTAGACACGTCAAATCCTGTAGGGTAGCTTCGAACTGGAAGATTAGGTAGAGTCGGGTTGAGTGCATCATTAAGAGTAACATCATAGTCTTCAAGGTTAATATCAAGAGGATTCTTATACTGCGATTTTGATGGCTGAGGTGCCCTAAGATCCAAGTAATCAGTTCGGACTGATTCCATTTTAACCTCTTCCTTTTCCAGTGATTTTGCAGTCGTAGACACAGGCCTAAAATTCTTTTCGTATTTCGGCTCAGTTAGTCCTTCGGCCTCTATACTATCTTCTACATTTTGGGGCAAGGCTCGTGATCCTACGGGATGTAAACCTCTCGCTGCATATGGATTTCCTCCCGGCTTGGCAAAAATGGTCTTTTAACTAACCTAATTATAACAGGCTGGTCTAAATGACTTAATGGTTCGCTATCCATAATCGAAATAGGTTTCTCTGTGGTTGTAGTTGTTGTTGTGGTGGTTGTTGTAGTTGTAGTTGTGGTACTTGTTGTAGATGTAGATTGTGCTTTTAAATTTGTGTTATGTGCCGATTTTTCTTTATTACTAGAAAATAATGATTGTTCTTTTACTTTTTCCTTTTCTTTGCTATCTGACAACGATACATCGTCTTCTTCGTATTCGTCATAGTAATAATCTTCATCGGAGTTTTTATGGTTTCTTCCCGATTCCATGTCATCTAATGGTTTATTTTCAACCACAACTTGCTTTTTCTTATCAGGTTCTTTATTTTTATTTGATTTTGATTCTTCTTCATAATTTTCATATTCATAATTTTCCTTTTGAGTCGTTTTTGTAGTTGAATATGGTTTGTAAGCATATTTGTTGGCTTCATTTTTCGGTACGGGGAGTTTAATTTTGGGAGCTACACGTGGTCTGTCATATATGGTTCCACTGACTGGTTTTATAATTGTCCTTGTGTCTGATTTTGTTTTGTGTTCTTTTGATACTGTTTCCTCACTGGTTTCTTCAGATGGCGGTTTTTTGGAACTAGATTTTTTATTTTTTTCGATGGGTTTTCTTCGCCTACCTAAAATATTAATCATAATTAGTTCTGTTATAAGATCAGCTGTTTTTAGCGATTTATGGGATGTTTTTACTCCCTATATACAAAGATGTTTGTGATGTACTAAAAAGTGGAATGTTTCAGTTATAGTACCAATACCAGTAAGAAAAATTAGAATAAGGTCTGAAATCTTAGAAGTATGCCAAGTAAGGTTATGTAGTTGGTAGATCCGTCTAAAAAAAGGAATGCTTGTATTCAAGAGACAAAGTTAAAGGACAAAGAGCGAATGCACTAGGTGAAGGATACAAATTGTGATATGTAGGGAAAAGTAACACTAAGAATGAATGTAAGAAAAGTTGTAAGAACGAATGATAGGATAATAACACAAATAATTTGTATTTAATATAGTGCTTGCTAAATTGGTTACAAGGAAGCCCAAGATCGACAGAACTGAAAGAAATTAAGGGAGGTTATGTTCAACTTTGGATACAGAAAGCTGAATGATAATGATGAATAAAGTGTTAGTAAAATGAATAAAAGAAATTTTGATACCAACCAGATACAAAAAAACAATGGACGACGGAGAAAATTTGATGGAAGCAAGACGTCGACATAAAAACAAATATAATTAGATATACAAAAAAGTGAATAAACAAATAAAATACAAAAGTAAGCAAGTGAAAGAAGAATGGTTAAAATAAAAATGCGCAGAAATAGAAGGATACCATAAAGGCCTGTCAATTTTAATACACACAAAGAAATTGAAGAATTACCCCACAACAATAGAAAAAGGAAACCGGGGATACTGAAAGATATAAATGGGAAACTAGTGTTGAATATTAACGAAAAATTAAAGAGATGGACAGTCTCACTGTTACAGTTTTTGTTCTAAATCCATTTCAATATTTCCTACTAACATTACATCATCAGCATACATGAAGCAACAGAATGTTACCCTAAAGTTTCCTTATTATCTGATCCAACACTAATAAGAATAAATAATGACTAATGTAAATCGGCGAGAAGTGAAAACGGCACTAGCAAAATAAAGAAGCCGACGGTGGGATAACCACATTCAAGAAATGGAGTAACAAGAACAGGGTCCAAACATGCAAAACATTATGGAAACTACAAAAAATACTAAGAAATGATAGAAAACCCATACCTCTACTACACGGTGAAAATGGAATTGTCTATTGTAGAATTTGTAGATTAAAAAGCCGAGGTGATGAGGAGGACTCTCTATCTCTCTCTCTCTCTTAGATAGGGAGAGAGTATTAAATTATCACCCAGACGAAGATATAGACGTCATCGGAGAAGTCGAAGAACAACAAGAAATTCCCAAAGAACCAGAGGAGATAATCACACCTACATCTCTTCAAGAAAAAAACGAACTTATTAATACCTTACTGAGAAAAGCATCTGGTCTAGATGAAATTTTAAATAGAGCTCTAAAAAAACTATCAGCAAAAGCGATAGTATTTTAACCAACATAACGAACAATCCTTAGATATTGCCTCTTCCCAAATCGATGGAAGGAAGTTCACGTAATCATGTTTCCGAAGCCAGGAGAGGATACCACGTTTTTGCAAAACTATTGGCCGATAAGCTTACTTCTAGCAGTCAGCAAAATCATAGAAAAATTAATACTAAGCAGACTACAAGCTAAAAATACTAAATATGACTAATCCCAGAAGCTAAGTTTAGATTTAGGGCATAACACTCTAGTGAATTACAAGTACTTAGACTGACAGAATACATAACAGCTGGATTTAATGACAACAAATAGACACATTTCCTGGATGTAAGCAAAGCCTTGACAGAATCTGGCATAAAGGACTAATATACAAAATTATAGGCTACGGATACAGAAAGGCCATGGCGAAACTGATCTCTTGGATCTGGAGGCTGGAGTGCCACAGGGAGCAGTCCTAACACGTTTAATGTATTCAAAGTACACCGCAGATGTTCCAAGAACACCAGGAACACTACGAAGTCTTTATGCAGACGACACAGCGATTGCTACCAAACAAAGAAACTTAAAAGTAGCAATCAATAATCTACAGTCAGCATTGGATACCATTGAAGAATGGTATATACAATGGAAAATAGTAATATATTCACAGAAGACAAAAGCAATCATATTCAAAAAGAAAAAAAAACCTCGGAACAGCTGTTAGTGCAAAATAATCCCATCGAATGGAAAAGAGATGCAAAATACCTAGAGTCGTTATAAGTCAAGTTTAAACATTTACACAATACGTGGACACAGTCATCCAGAGAACAGCAACAGCCAGAGCAGCAATAAGAGGACTTGCAAATAAAAATGGCAAACTGCACATAAAGACGGAAATTAGACTGATAAACAGCATCATACTTCCAATAATCACATATGCATCTCTGGCATGGGGACACCTGAGCAATTCAAATAAAAAGAGAATACAAGCAGCCCACAATAACATTCTCAGAGAAGGGACAAATGTACTCAGATACGTCGCTAAACGCTTTCTGTTCAGGGAACTGCAACAAGTAAAGGTGATAGATAACTCAGCAGAAAAAACAGAATTAAGTGTGCAGTATTAGAAAGTTATCCAAGCCAAGAGATAATAAGATATGATACGTTCTACTGGTGGAAACATAAAAGACCAAAACAGCAAATGTTTATTTTCCGGAAAACTTTAAAAATTTTTTTTTAAATCAAAAAATAGCTTCAGCTACCAAAAAACTTAGAAAATACTAACAAAAAAAATTAGCCCAAAACCCGAGCAGAACGGGCCCATATCCTCGTGCACCGAGTCACCGAACTGGGCGAAGCCCGAAGCAGAGACTTGACTCCCGCGCAAACAACTTTAATTCGATGATACTTCTTCTTCTTCTTCTGGTAGCACTACAACCCGGGGTGGGTCTTGGCTGACTGCACAACCTGCTTCCATCTCGAACGGTCGTCCATGATGTTTAAGTCAGTGGGTAGCCCCATTGTTCTCAAATCTGACCATATATTATCTCTCCATCACATTCGTGGACGTCCTAAGGGCCTTCTCCCTGTCGGGACTTCTTCCCAGATTAACTTGGTAAGGCGGTTATTAGGAAGCCTATGAACATGGCCAGCCCATCTTAGACGTTGGGATTTAATCTCTTGGACTACGTCGCTAGCACTATACATTTGTTTGACCTCGGCATTTGTTCTCATTCGGTATTGGTTAGTATTCGGATCGTGACAGGGACCGAAGATCTTTCTGAGGATTTTTCTCTCAAAGCATCTGAGTTTACTTTCCATTGCTTTTGTCAGCGTCCACGTCTCACACCCATACATGAGCACCGGTTATCTGTGGTGATAGTCGCTCCGAGATATTTAAAACTCTCCACTCTTTCAAAGTTATAGGGGTCTATTGTTACATTTTGTCCTATTCTATCTCGTCTCTTTTGTCTGTTAATGCAAAAAATTTCGATGATACGTCATCGTATATTCGATGATACGTCACTAGAAAAAGCAGGAAAAGAGTACCTCACGCTAGCCTGCATTGATCAGGTTAGGATATCGTGTTGGAGTTTTTGTACCCAGAACTTCCAAACGAAAAGCGTTTGGCTGATAGTGAGCCCCTACTGACTCTCGCATCAAAGTGCTATAGGGGAGAAAGGGATGGTCTGGAGCATTGGAGTGCAATGAAATGGTTCCTGATTATACAAATCAATACACCTCGCTCCAATGAATTGTAACAGCCTAATGTTATTCTAAAGGGTATGCAAGTCTCTCTGACTGGGTTTAATTAAATTTTACTGCTGCTTCAGCTTCATTTCTAGTTCCAAAGCCGAGTCATCCATGTATTTCTTCATATATCCTCTCTCGGATAGGCCCATATATGCAATAAAATCACCTTCTGTTATGACTCTCGCCTTTGATGGAATATAATTTAGTACATGTTCTAATTGACCGTAGAAACCTTTTTTCATTTTCACCAAGACCGACCTGAGGAGAATACACACAAAGAAAGCATTCAACACTTCTTAATTTAGTACAAATCTCACTGTCATTATTTGATCACTCGTTATTATAACTTGTAATATATTATTACTCATTTCCCAATCAGAAATTATATCAACTTCATGCCTAATGTTACTTTTCCCTACATACGCCAATTTCTATCCGTGACGCTCTTTCGCTCTTTGTACTTTCTACCTTGTCTGTTGAATGCAAGCCATTTGTATTCTCCTTATTTTACCTGTAAGACGTCCAAGATTATAAGTCTCTATATTCTGAATTTTTAGAAAAAATATGTCAGTAAAGAGAATTAATATTGGTAAAAACATAGAAAGTTTAGATGGAGAAATGTAATTAGAAAAGCTGATTCAGTTTAGGAAAAAAGATAAGAAAATGATGATGATAGTATACATACATTACAAAAGTAGGAACATATACAAGAATAAAACAAGTATGAAATTTTAATTTATCAAAACAACCTGTAAACATACAAAAATAGATAAATCCCCAAGAAGTGGAAGACACAGAAAATGTCAGAATAATTATATAAATCAGCAATTAAAGTTAGAAATAACTTATATAAAAAAAACCTAACCAATTTGCTTTATTTATTTACTTGAAGGCTAGAATAACTACGACCACGACATATTCTGGTTGTAACCTCTACGACTGAGTTCTGATTACGACTTGATGTCCTCATTAGAGATTGGCGACCATCAACTGGAAGTCTTCTCTATCTTGTGCTAATCTGCTGATGTCGAGCCCTTGGCGTAAGTGTCGCATCCAAGAGGACTTCTGTCGTTCGATGCCTCATCTTCCTTATATTTATGCATTCTTTCCAAAACTAGATATTTCAAATCACGATCCGTGATATTTTTAATAATCGCCGGTGCAACCACATCTCAAAAGAATCCAGAAGTGACATGGTTTTTGTGTTTAACGTCCATACCTCAACTCCGTACAATAGTGTAGACAGTGCATGGACTTATTAAATGGCACACCATTGAGTAGTCAGATACAGGTCTCTATTGCAGAATAGTTTCATTTTGAAGAACGTACTC